TTTATTTTTGTACATCTTTCGCTTCTAACATCTCTTTCTGTCTGTACAGATCAAGAATATGAAAAAGCTGAAGAAAATGAAGAGAAGCCAATTGCGCTCCATTGAGACGCGGTGATCATGGAGCTTGTAGCAGCGCTATTCCTTGTCTTTAAAATTTCACTACGCTCTTCTGTACCCATACCTTGCGTGGCCTTCTCTCCCGAGTAGGCCGCGTAAGAAAACCTGTCTGTCCAAGGCCTCAGCTAGTCCCTGGGGCTTTGCAGATTGTCGAGCTGCGAATGGTGTCCAGACAGTCTTTCTACATCTCGACTCTCTTCAGTCAAACTCACTCCTGAGCTGTCCTGGAGAATCTGCAGGTTCTTTGAGTGTCTTTTTTCCCAAAACTTTTCAAACAACTGGACCACGGCCCCATGTTTTTCCGCAGACATTTTCTCTGGATAAAGGATAAAAAATTTAAAGAACAAGTTTGCTCTTTTCAGTGCTGGAACTAGTGAAACTTCTTCAAAACTAATCTGGTCCCGGGTCCTCCGAAAGTTCTCGTTTAAATTGTGAGCCATGTCGGCAGTTATATACTGTTTATGAACAATTCCATCGAGCATACATTTAACCTATATATCTAAGTCTAAAATATATCGCTTTTTACCAAAAAATCGTGACGAACAGGAAACGGGCAGGTAAAAACGCCATATTTGGCAATTTTAAGGTTTCCAACGGCATTATTTCTTTATCCCCTAGCGGATATTTCTTCACACCCTAATTTGAAATTGACAAGATAGCTCTGTCTATAAGCTTCAAACGTCCACACACCATGGAGGGACGCTATTTGAAGTTAGACACATTCGGAACTACTGAAATGTAGTTAATCTTATGTGATTATTTACCATACCGGCAGCAGAGGTACTAGATGGAGTCCAGACACGTGTTTCGCTCGTATTTATGTGCTGCATGACACAGCTGTGGGGGTTCGGTCCATCAGTGGGTCTCGCGGCATTCCCTGTGTGATTTCTGATCGATATTCCGGTTTCCGGTCAGTAGTTCATCTGGCTGGTTGCAGAGGTCGACTAGCGGATATATTCGAGGATGTTAAGAGCAGTTTTTCATATTGAATAACCGGTTTGCGCCAGGGAGACTCGGTAGTCTTATCATTGAGATATCTTCCTAAGACCTCGGGCGTCTTTTTCGTAGAGAAGAGGGAATAAGAACGGCCGAAGTGTGCGTTTTTCGATGGTGTTTTTTGGTCTCGAAATTTCCACATTTAATATTCGGGCGTGACCCCGGTTACTGCAATATCTGTCCAAAGAGCTTAGTGGTCATTCCTCTCATATTTTCCGTTATTGAGTCTATGGCACACCAGAACACGTCTCGTGCCACCCCTAACTTGGAATTTTATTGATTTTATTTCGCAAGTACCCTGTTTACAGTAAAAGTGCCTTATCATTCAGGATCTGGAGGAGTTCCTCCAAGTGTCATTCATCCGGAAGTGCTGATTCCCGTTTCACACCCAAACCACCCTTAACTTACGGATTATGATGCTAATTTCAAAAAGACTTAGAAACGTCCTGCAGATAAGATTATTGTTCGGGAAGAATAAGATGCATCGCCAGCACAAGAAGTTTATTGACCTGTAGTTACGGATTCCTGCTCTAATCCATCATCAGAGACAACCACATATAAGAGTGATAGAAGCAAAACGCGCACAGTATTTATAGTCCGTAGTGACCATGCGACCACATGTTTACTGCAATTAGCATCTCTCGCGATCCCTTCTGACGATCGTAATTGATGGGATTGTGGCTTGGCAGTCAGCACCCGAATCGTTAATGGCCGCATCCGTGTTGGATGTTGACGTGATAATTGCATGGCAAATTGACTCACTGCTCGCCCGCGTCATCCCTTTCTGACTGATTTCCCTGCTCAGGCAGTCTCAACACAGAATATGGGAACAGTTAATTGCGCTTGTTGTTGTTGCGGGCCTGACAACCATGAGTCGAGAAGTTCGCAGCTTACGTGGTTATCACCTCTTGCGATCGGCTCGATGGGCCGAAAAATTTGCCCTCCGAGAGTCGTCTACCTGTACGCAAATTCGGTTTTCGGCGCACGTGCCTTCACAAGTATGTTACCGAAACGTGTTTCCAGCAAACAAATCCCCGCCCGGCTGCCATAGAGCTGGCGAGACGTGCAGTTTAATCAGCACGGCAGAAGAATATTATTTGGTTGCTCCTTTCAGTCGAGGCTTCGCAGGTATCGTCAGAGGATTGACGAAGAAGAGACACAAAGGGCTGCAAGCTCATAAACGAGAACGATTCAAAACTGCTTCAGTAGAGGCGGCCGAACATACTCGCAAACAGGGCGATACGTAAAACAGCAAGTTTCGTAAGATGCCTGGGCCAGCGTCATGCCAAAACTACAAACTGGTGCACAACTTTTTGCCAAAATAGCTGACGGAGGAAAAAAATGCAAATGTTAAGACACGAGGCTTCATTTAGCATTGCTGATGCCAAACCTGCCAATATGGTTGTAGCAGTGGAGTTACTCTTCAGCCAGATGGAAGGAACGGACAAAACGAGGCATCTCATTGGACACCAAGTGTCAGCCTTCCTCCTCGCTGATAGGCCGCACGACGTGCTTATCGAGGTCGGGCGTCAGGAACCGATAGTGACATCGTTATCGTGCCTGCGGACAGGGGGTGCTCGATGGTCGTATTGGACAGGGCAGACCAAATTCAGGAAGCCAACACCTCATTAGACGATCGTCAGTCTTATGTCCTATGCTAATCCAACTCCATAAAAACGCCCATGCGAGATCAACGTGACGCTGCTGGCAATGAAAAACTCGCGTGAATGCAAGAAACGACCTTGATCCAGTCTCATGGTCTTCCAAAAGTGAAAAAAGAGGGCACTTCTCTTCGGGTCAATTGTAAAACATACTGTCAAAGTGACTCTTTCAACGGCTCCAACTCCTGACAATTGAATCGGATACCACATCTTTTAATTTCACGTCCCTTTTTACTTCTAGTTCACAGGATCTGGCAGTCGAGACCATCGAATTACTTTTACGAGACAAATACAGTGAATTTTAGAATCATATCGGGCAGGCCCAACTCTTCTAACAGCAGCGGTTCAGTCGGAAGACGTACTTTACGTTCGATGGACTAATGTACGAGCTGGTGAAGGGTACGCCCATGAATCCGCCCATTTTCAAACTTAAAGCTGAAGTGTTTTTGCATCTGTGGTGGTCGCTGGTTTTTCAACACAACAGATTGAGATTCTGGGCGCAATATATGGATGATATTTTCATCGTCACCGAGCGGGATCAGGTGCTGTCATTCAAAAGGCTCAATGCCGTCTTTCCGAACATAAAATTGATGAAGGAGGAAAATAATAACCAGCTGCACTTTCCTGATGTCGTCTTTTACCACAGAGACAGTTGTGGCCTAAAAAAACAAAGTACTTAGCAAATTGAAAAAGAACGAAAGTAATTTTTACTCTAACAGCAACCATCCGATTAGTCACAAACACAGTTGCGCAAGGGCGCTATACCGGCACATTGAGATGCATCGCAATGAAACGGAAGACACGATTGTTGATTGAAAATATATTCGATGGACAGTGAAAACGAATAGCTACCCACACAACTATTTAAACCATTGTATACGAAAAAGACACGAGAGAGCAACCCCAGTTGGTGAGCCCTTTCGTGCGTAAAGAGTGTCTTAGAAGCCGTCAGCCGCCTTCTCGTTTCACTTGGGGTTGCACACGGACCGGAAGCAACCATCAACTGCCATACTATGCGACCGAAAGACATAATGCCCCGGTAGAAGACATCTGAAGTCGTTTTCCGGATCTGGTGCAGTTGTGGACAAAGCAACTGCGCCAGAGAAACCGGAAGATTACTCTGGACGCGAATGGCCAAGCACACAGCAGCGTTGAGGGGGAAAAACGCAGTTCTTTCCCGGAACGCGGCCGCAGTTTTAAATTTTGCTAAACCGGGATCCCCGCATGAGGTACGAGTTGCTATAGTCATGATTCTCAAACCCTCATTCCATCAACAAACGCAATGAACTGTTCCCGTACTCTGTGCTGAGACTGCCTGAGCGGGAGAATCCGCCAGGAAGGGAGGACGCGGACGAGCAAAAGTTTCAATGACAGTGAACCAAATTGTCGCGTCAACATCTAACACCGATGTGGTCATTAACGACTCGGGTGCGGACTGCCAAGCCACCATCGCATCAATTGCGACCCCTGCCGGGATCTTGAGAGCTGTTAATTGCGGTACGCATGTGGTCGCATGACCACCAGCGACTATAAATACTGCGCATGTTGTGCCTCTATCAGCCTTATATATGGTTGTTTCTGATGATGAGTTCGAGCGAGAAACGAAACTGCAGCTAAATAAACTTTTTGTTCTAGCGATCGCATCTCCTCCTTCGGAGATGCTGCCTGTAACTCGCCTGTTCGCTTCTATCAGCGATTATTTTTCCGGTGGTTGAATATCCTTCTTTACTAGGCTTATTTACATTGACAATCTCTTAACGATAGAGTGGGTTCAGTGGCCATATCCTCTCTGGGAGTGCCCGGTATCTGCGTGAGTTTGTGGATACCTTATAGTCTCCTCAGTGTTCTTTGTCCTTCATCAGTTTAGTCTCAAAAAATACCAGACTTCTCATTATATGAGAATGAAATACCAGCGAGTTTAGTAACGACATCGGAAGTGCCGAAAAATAAATGGGGACTTGCCTGCCTGAATTTTTTGGCTGAGATAACGTATAAGCAGGTACTTTTCGGCCGTTATTTCCAAAAAAAGGACATCCGACGTTACGTGCGTATTGAAATCTGGAGTAAATCTCGCCTTATCGCCTAGAGTTTCGAGAAGTTCCTCTAAATTCCAATTCTCGGGAAGTACCGGGAAGGTTTCGTTTATATCTGAAGATACAAGACTTGTTATTGTGATGCAAATGCAATAAACGCTTGTATTAGAAGCAGTAGTTTAGGGAATTATATATCGGCTTTAGAGATGGTTTAAGATGTCCTCCGGTATTAGAAATCTAGGCTTCTAATTAAGTTGAACTGAAAAACTCTAAGACACCAGTCTGGCATTCAGCTATGCTTTCCAAAGCCTACAGTTTTTTCGAAAAGGACAACACTTGTTCATGCATCCTAATTTTATTAAATTAACTTTCCCGGTGTTACAAATATTAATCAGTTTGGGTGGATCCTTCGAAAGTGAACTAAATTGCTAAAGCCTTAAGAGGCGTGTGGAGAGTCCTCCCGTTTTAAAAATGGCATTTCAATGCCTTTTTGTACTTTTAATAAGTCAACTACCTTTGAGGATCGTTTGCGGTATAAACTGCCTTTCTTGGAAATGGCGGGCGTGTAATAAAGTCGGGCTGATGTGTAAAAGCGCTTTCCGTCGACCGTAAACTAACCAACATTGACTGTGCATTTGCCCTGTTTTGAATTTTTGTCGAAGCCGCGTGGTCAAGGTTACCTCTCCTGTACATGCCACTAAGTGACTTAGATTGAGTCTCCAGCTGAGTGAACCGAAGAGAGGCAAAGTGGTACAAGATTATAAGCAGTTGTGATCAACTGGTCCTCCTGACAGCTTTGACGTAGTCTTCAACGGCGACTCGTGTAGCTTTGGTCTCAGATTTCTATCCTCTGACAAGCGAAATCTGTAGTCTATTTTACATCACAAGTAGCTGTCTTTGACGTTTTCCTTGGTAATGTGGCGCCTTATGCATAGCCCCGGAAGAAAGCAAGTCGACTACTTGTGTGTGTGCATTGGTCTCTGAGGCCTGGCGATCCTGCCCAATATCACTCGCTGAAGCCAAGCTAGAGGACTTACGTGCGAGTATTGATTCACCGAAAAGTGTAAATGCACCGGCCTCAAACTGCAGGTGAGTGTCCGGGAATTCGACAGTCAAAGAGCCCTGGAGAGTAAAGATTGCATTGGCAGACTCCTTGCCTGCCTCGTAAATCGCGTGACTTCTCGTTTGGGTGTCACTGTCAAAAAATCGATGTGAGTTCAAGAGTAAATTGGTGCAAGGAGTTCGTTCGATTTAAAAAGGTGACGACCATCTGTAGCACTATTACATCACCGGCCTAATGTCATTTTTACATGAATGGCCGTAAAGTAGGCAGGATCCGTCATCTCCCTCGGACCATATTCTTACACTTGCAAATTATGGTAACTTTTCTTTAGAAAAAGGTTAAAACACCTCGCTACTAGAGAGCCACAATCTTGAAATTAGATATTTTCGAAGAGTGCTTATATTAAATAACGTGGAACGGATTGCGCCCATCACAAGGGAATCTGTGCGCAGATTAAATTCCAAACTAAAAGTAGGCTTCATCCTAGAGAGAAAACGCTGTACCTTATCTTTTACAAAACTGGAGTGTGCGCTTCACTTTCCTGGTCCAAACTCTGCATCGAAATATGACGGTTAACAAACAACAGAGTCAAATTACCGCATGCATAAATGGCTCGTAGTATGGTACCCATAAATTATATTCTTATTGAAAATCGTCATAAATAAAACAGTCTAGGAGGCATACGTAGTGGCATATTAGTGTCCCACGGTTTATAAAAATAGACTGCAACAGTCCCAATCACAGTTTTAGGGATCGTTTCGTTGCTAGCCTATTGTGGTTTGGTACGGAAGACATGGTTTAATTGGAAATTTCATTTTTCGCAGATGGATGACCCAGAAATGGCTTTCTATTTCATCGTCTACCACCGAGCTAAAAATCCCTTGTTCTTGGCGTACTGTAAGAGTCAATCCCATTCCCAGAAACCTGGTAATTTTGGTTCTAAATCCCGTCACGTAACTGCGCGCCATCATGCAGTTTCCCTCCATTTTCTCGGCCACCCTACGATTTACACATCAAAAGACGAGCAGCATTTTCGATGTCGTTGCCCAGAAATGCCGACGACAGGAATCTTAACTGCATATGTGCATTTCGTGCTGAAAAGTTTGGAATGACAATTTCAAAATGAATCGTATCTCTCGTTGTTGTTCTCTCCTCTGCCCTTAACTCTTTTCAACATTACTTCACCAAGAAAACGCCCAAACAATGCTCTCCTGATTGGATCGCATACTGACTCGCAGATTATTTTCCTGAAGTAAATTAGTTTGTTCTGGTAAATGTGATACGCCCGTTTTGCCCGGTGACGTGCGATCTTCCAGGTACTGCCTACGTTTTAGGTAGGTTTATAGTAAGTGTGTCAAAAAGTGCGGTTGAACTCCAACTTATTGAAGATTGTTTCACTCATCTGTCAATAGGGTCGTAGACAAGCGGTCTTCTATGAAACAGCCAACAAATATTTCAGTGTTCTTCGTTTTTATAATCTACCGATAGAGCATTCTTTGAACACACTACATAAGGTTCTATTTTATCTAAAACCCTGTCGTCTTCATGTTCCATACCCTTTTACTAAGCCCCCCTAAAACTGTTGCGTTTACAAATTCCTTCGACCCTTAATCTTGCGACCTACAAGGCGCTCGCAGTTGATTGTTATCCATTACTGTTATCTTATCATTTTTACTCTGTTTAGCAAAGAATATTCACGCGTGTGGGTTAGAAGTCTACCCCGTTTACTCTTACCCATTTGTGAAAGTCAATCCGTTTAACTCCTCATGGTCTTCGTCATATGTCTGGCCATATATTGGCTTGTTGCGCCTTGTGTGGCGTTGCGGTGGCATGCAGATGGTGATACCGAGATGGAGAGTGAGTAGACCATGATAAGCATGTTGATGGGAATGAGAGAATTGCGATAAGCCTAATATCCTTTGGGAAATGTTCTTCATCCTTAATTTATTCAGTAATATACTGGATTCCAAAGCTGGGGTAAGCGTCTTTGCCAGATATTTTCACTTAAAGGCTAGTACCTGTGTTGTCCGTATGACAAACCACGTAATATGTGTATACTGCTGTTTGCCTATTGGCAGTTTATGAGTCATACATGGTTGCTCTGCTGACGTTGATAGATGTCAGCTCAATTATTTCTACCAGCTTACGAAACGAGCTTTTTAAGCTTCATTTCAGATAATTTTCCACAAGGTATCCATTAAATTCCGAGGAAATAAAAAAGAGCTGCAGTAGTGGGCAGAATGAGAAGCATTAGATGGAAGATAATGCAACGAGCGACAGTATCTGTATAGTTTACCCTTTCGCAATGTCGAAGTTCAACTGAAGGGATGCGATAGTCCTTTTATAAAATAAAAACAGGCAAAAATAAATGCGCAGTGACCGTTAAGTTGCTTACTCCGACATCACTTCTTGTGCGAAGGAGCAGTTAAGGAATCCCTGAAGAATCAGCGTATGTGCGTACTTGGGTCCGAATGGTATGGTATCTAAAAATGAAACCAAACTTTTAGATGCGTTTTTCTAGTGGTCAGAACGAAGCTCGTTAAAAAGCTCGCATCCTGTCCTAACTGAAATGACTTTAAAATGGACTGTACGGTAATCAGTATCACAACTTGAGTCAATGCCGATTACCGAAAGAGTATCAATCCTTGGCATATGTCGGAATGTTGCGTGATCTTTGGCGTCTACTCTAGTATTGTCGAAGTAGACAAGGGAGACTGGAATGGCCATTTCTGGTTTATTAGCCATCGTCAGCCAGTCATACCCAACTTCAAGTGGTGCACCACTCAGGACTCTAACTTCCGACCTTTTTCTATCAGAGTCTAACACGCTAGCCATCGGGTCACGAGCTCGTTGTTTTGCCGGTTTAGGGCGGGAGATATTGACACTCGTTTATGAACGCTCACCGACCGCTAACGGAAATCACTTGTCCCGCCCTGCGTCTGTAGTAGTTTTTTAGGATTTTTGAAGCTTTGCCTCCCTTCAACTAAATTTATTTTTCTCTACTTCTTACTGTTGCCTCTTCCAATCACTTCTCGAGTACGCTGTTATGGTCAGGTCCTCCCTTCTTAATATTCCAAGTGCTATGTCCTATCGGTGCAACGCAAGATGTGGTAATAATACAATGGAGGAGACGGAAGATCAAACAACTCACTGGCAACAAGATGCCGAAGCACAGCTAGCTTTAATTGAGGCGTTATTCTGCTGCCAGTTTGGAAATTCAGTATTGGCCAGAGATCCATGTTAGGACATCGCATACTTCGTTTTTTCGTTCTCTTGTTATCCGCTTTAAGTTACGGGGGTTAATAAATAATAGAGGACACAATAAGTCATAGCAAGTACAGCGAGCTATGAAAATAGTCATCGAATCGCCTGAAGAAATTGATAAAGCGCGTATTTGAAACCAACAGTATCCAACATGCGGGGAATGCTTTTCAGCGGCCTATAAACTCAAATAAAGTCAGTATCCCCTATGGGAATCAAAATGGTAGCTAATAAAATTAATATACGACGATTTAACGTGCTTTAAACATTTAGAATCAATCGATCACCAGATCATTTCCCCCATAAGCGAGCAAAACTCAGTTCAGTTAAGCTCTGAGGTGAAAATCCGCTTTACGTTTACGATGCTTTTGATTGTGAAATATTGAAATATATTTTAATCCAAGGGACTAGTAGAAAGCACGAGTTAACAGAGTATGCAGTCCCTTTATTTCTGTTTTTTTTTTGAAAACCTTTTGCCATACTTGTATTTGTTGACAACTGTGTCATACTTTTATTTCCAAACAACTTTCTAGACTGATTGTATTTGTTACGCATTTCCTTATCTTGCGCTTATCGCTATTTGTTTAAGTTCGTGTACTTACAGTTACGTGCTATACGTTGACTGGTGATTACGTCATCAATAGCGGACATCTTGCTCCTATTGTTTTCCTTCACCGGACGGTGTAAGGAGTTAAGTTCATCATGTCGAGGGTATCGTGCTCGGCTTTACTTGACTTGCTCTTAGCATGGGATGGCATCATCGATCGTTTCTGCTCGCTAACTCTTCACCCCGCAATTATTTTCAGGCTCCTTGAAAAATGCTCTGAATTATGTTAGCATCTATTGGACTTCATTTTTTCTTCCGTTCCTGACTGGATTACAGCTGCAGGAAACATATGCGACTTAACATCCCATGGTGGTATTTGACTGTTTAATATCCCGGTTATAAATACTGGAGGGAGGGCAAATCTTATGTTTTTATCGACTAGCCTTTATGAGGTGTAGGAAAGAGTCTTAAATTTATAATTTTGGTCTATGCCTACAGACCTTAGATATACTGATGCATACCCCGAACAGAAATTAATTTCTAAGGAAATTGAAAGCTAAATAGTCAAAATCGGTATATCAAACAGAAAGTAATCAGGGAAAGCTAGAGGACCCACTGATTAGCCGGACCCCTCGCAGCTTTGTCAAGCAGCGGCAGAATACTGACGAAACACGTGTCTAGGCATTTTAGTTAGTACCTGGGGCTGTTAGTATGGTAAGGCACAACACCAACAGTCTTGCTTATTCTCCTACTGGCAGTCGGCTTACACCGTCATCGATTATAAGCAGTGTAATGATGGTAACGGAGCGCATTAGTAGATTTAAAAAGCAAATCATCGGTTACTATAAATACCTTAGACGTTGAAGGAGTTTAACACCAAATAACTTCCCAATGCAAAAGTATTGAGCGGCCCAAAATGGAGATGGAAGGAAATGCAACAACAATGCAACCTATAGAAAATGACTACTTAAACAATATTGATTTTTCCGTTGATTTCCAAT